GCGGGGGGTCAGGCGAGATGATCTGTTCAGGTCCCTCCTGACCCTAGCTACTATGATACTATGAAACTATGACTTCAGATGCTCCCAAACCCATTGGCAGGTACCCTGGAGAGGATTCAGGAATGTGAACTGCTGCACCCTGAGCTGCTCTCCCCATGACAACTGCAGCTCTGGGGCAAAGCAGTTTTGCATCCTGAACTGGCTAGGATGCCTGAGGCCCCTGGGACTGGTTTGAGCCCCATTAGGGTAGCTGGAGTGAGCCCTGTCCGGGCAACCGCAGCTCTGTCTAGCTAGCCTCTGCCTCTCTCCTCTGCAGGATGCCTCTGAGACAGCTCAGGAGCGGATTGTGAACAAGCTGGCCGATGCCCTCCAGTACAAGCTCTCCCTGGACAGCCGTGCCTGCCACAGAGGAAGCCTTGCCCCTGCCGCCCCTCTCGTGAGTCCTGATGGGGCTGACCTCTTGGGTCCGAGTCTCTACTGAACTAGCCCCCTTGGCCAGAACCCCTCCATGAAGCCCACCGGACTCACCCCCCCTCCCTCCTGTCTCTCTGCCTAATCCACCCACCCCTCCAGCTTTACATGCCCCACACCTCACCTCTACAGCCACAGCCCCCTCCAGGCAGTGACCATTTCTCTTCCTCTCTCCCCCGCCCCGCAGAAGCACTTTCCTGGGAAGCTGCAGACGTCCAGCCAGGTCCGCTTCTCAGCAGCCCTGCACCATGAGAAGGGCCGCGAGCCCCAGACACCACGCCAAGGAAACCATTTGTAAGTAGAAGAGGGTGGGCAGCGTGCTGCCCATAGCCCTGGAGGCTTTCCCCTCCCATCTCTGGGGGGGTTAGCCGCGAGGCCAACCTCCCTCCTCTGCCCGTGACAGGTTGCCACCAGCTCAGCCCCAGGAGGAACTGTCCTCATCCCTGCTGGCTGCCCCAGTGCCTCAGAGACCATCTCCCCCACGAGGGGCAGCAGGTGTCCCCTGGCAGGCAGGGAGACAGCCCCTGCAGAGGCCAAGCCTCAGGGCTTCAGGTAAGAGACTGGAAGCGGAGGCTGCAATAATAGCACCAAGTCAGGAGTGCCACTCAAAGCCTTGCTGCACTTGGGGCTGTACAAACCCAGAAGAGAGCTCTCCTGGCTCCCAGCCTAGTGCATTGGCTGTAGAAATCTGCCTGACTGTTGACCCTTCTCCTTCACAGATGCGGGACTGGCTGCACAGACCACGGGCCTGGCGGAGGGATGCCAGCTCGAGCCCAGGGACCCCAGCTGCCACGCGGCACTTGGGAGCAGTCACATGCAAGAGGTGGATGCCTCTAGCAGGGCCCCCACGTATTATAACCAGCCCCAAGCAAATAGGTGCGTAAAGAGGGAGAGACAAACACGTGCACACATTCACCCATATGGCACCTGATTCAGAATGAAGCCCCAATGGCAGGCAAGGGCACTGCCTCATTAAATGGGGTAGTGCATTAGTGCATAGTGATGGCCTGGCATGATGCACAAATTGCCATGAGGCCCCAGCAGGTGCCACAGAGCTGGCCACAGAGGGAGGACTTCCAGTGAGATATGGAGATCAGTGGGAGGGTTGCATTTGAACCTAAATAATATACAGATTTCTCTCTAAAGAAAGAAAAAACCCTCCATAATCACTGTAATATGATTGTTATCCATTTAAGACTCAAAACAGGAATCAGACTAATACTAATTACTATCTCATGATATTGGATGCAAGATACACCCTAGGAAAAAACAGCTCATGACACGGTGATATCAGCCATTAACACGTTTGGGGTTAGGATTTAATGGGAAGACGTAGATTCAAATTCTCCTGGCTGCAGGGAGAATTCAGGCCTCAGTCTTACCTTCATGTTTCTGAAGCTGCATCACGGCAGCCTCAAGCGCCCAGATGTCTTTGCTCTGTCCTTCCAGCAACCTGAACAACACGTACCTGCACCCAGACCCCTATTACCACAACTGCCTCCAGAACGGGAGACTCCAGCCCTCGCTGAAAAGTAAGTATCAGAACAAAACACGGATGGTGCAAAAGCAGGACCAGGCTCCTGGTTCTCCACGGCCCTACATGGGAATCAGACTAGGTGTAGTGGTTGCTCTAAAGGACCAAAAGAGCAGCAAAAGATGGCTGGACAGGCAAGAGAGAGGCCTTTGTAACAGACCCCAAAGCAGGTAGTTTGCTGGAAAAGTGTCTCTGGGACAAGAGATGTTGGAACCAAGAATGAAACTATGCCCTGGAAGACTTGGGCATGGAAGTGAAGCCTTCCGGAGCTGGGGAAACGCACAGGGCTTCCCTTAAGCTCCAGCTGCAAGAGTCAAAGGATCAGGAGAATCTCAGCCCTCCTTTTAAGAAAAATATTCTAGCCTTTTCGGCAGCAAGCGGGGGGAAGGGCTTGTAATCCTGGCCTGCCTGCAACTCTGGCAGCTGACTGCACACTGAAAGACACCCCAGCACGTGCTGGTGTTTAACATAATTCCTCATGGTTTTTAAGCTGGATTTGTCATCTCAATGGGCCCGATTCCCTTTGAATGCTTGGAGGGTGACAACACTGCATTTGCACCTGTATGCTCCCAAAGCAGAGACAGGCAAGGACACCCCTGAGCTCTCTACCCAGGAACATGGGGCTGCTCCGAGTTATAGGACATGATCAGGGATATTTAATTCCCCAAACCAAGCTTTAAATGTTAGAGCACAGTACGGGAGCAGTGTGGTGGGCACAAAACTGACTCTAGCTTTGCTGCTCGTATCCCACAAGCCCTATAACATCCCCCAGTTTCCCTGCAAGAGGCCCAATAGCCTCCAGAAAGTCACCCAGTCTTCAACTGGAGCCATCAAGAGACAACAGGCTCTCGAGTGCTGACCAGTCAGAGGTGGGATGCGGGGCAAGGTGGGCTGTGGTTCTGGTCCAGGTTGGCAGCTCCGATGCTGCCTTTTCCAAAAGGCGCCCATGGGAACGTTAGCTCGGCATGCTGAGATAAGCCACTGGGCCACATTGTATGCCAGCTGCGATACGTCCGGGTATGCAAAGCACTGCAGCAACTGGCAGCTTCCCCCCTTGCTTCACAGGCCTTCACGAATATGAAACCCTCCGGCTACGGACACGGATGCTAGAGCAGTGAGTGAGGTGGCCCTGTTCTCTCCTGTCCCTTGCAGCCCCATAATGTCTATCTTGATCCTCTCTGTAGCCCCCTCAGGGCTTTGCAGACAGGTATCCTATCCCCCTCTGCCTTCTCCTCTCCAAGCTCATCCTGCTACTTCCAACTTCTCCTCCTGTATCACGTTCCCCAGACCTTGGATCTTCTTTGTTGCTCTCCTCTAGGCTCTTTCCAAGGCATCCACATCTTCCTGGAAGTGCGGTGGCCAGAGCTGGACTCAGGACTCCAGGCGAGGCCCTGCCAGTGCTGGAGACAGCAGAAGAATCATAGAAAATGGGGGTGGGAAGGGACCTTGGGAGGTCACATCTAGTCCAACCCCCTGCTCAAAGCAGGACCAGTCCCACTAGATCATCCCAGCCAAGGCTTTGTCTAGCTGGGTCTTAAAATCCTCCAAGGATGGAGACTCCATCACCTCTCTAGGTAACCTGTTCAAGTGCTTCACCACCCTCTTAGTGAGAGAATTTGTCCTAATATCCAACCTAAGCTTCCCTTACTGCAACTAGAGCCCCTTGCTCCTTGTTCTGTTCTCTGCCAGTCCAGCTCCATCCTCTTGGGAACTACCCCATAGGGAACTGAAGGCTGCTATTAAATCCCACCTCTGTCTTCGCTTCTCCAGAGTTATTGCTTTGCACCAGTACTGCTCAGCTGACTCATACCCAGCTTGCATCCAGCAGCCTTCTCTGACTTGCTGTAGATATGCATCAAGCTGACAATGCAAAGGGCACTAAGACAGAGAGCAAATCCCTCTTTCTGGCTGAGCCCAGCTGAGCCCCATCTTCTTGTTAGCACCCGTTAGGCTCAGCAGCTGCAAGCAGTGCCCTGCTCCCTGCCCCAAACTACCCTGCGAGGGCTGCAAAACATGCCCAGCCCCGTGCCCAAAGCCAGCAGGCAGTAGCATGCATTGCCATACCAGTGGCATTCATTTCTCCCCTCCTATTTGCTCCCTCACAGGCCTGCTGCCAACCCCACTAGCCACATCCCCAGTGAAAGGCAGGAGCCCTGGCGGTGGCAGAAGAGGAGTCGGTTCGAGTCCATCCTATGCACACTCATGTGAAGGTGAGCAGCAGAGACTGGACTTCCATGTGGGGTGAAATGGGGACCCTTTGGCACAAATTCAGAGCCGGATCTGGGTCTACGTTACCCCCCTCCACCTCCAAAGCTTCCTGCAGACCGCCTCCAACCTGCCTGCTGTCTCTGCCCCACATAGCTGCCCCCATCGTTGGCACAAAGTGCTTTTACTCTGCAAGCCTTGCCCTCTGGCTCAGCCTCCAAGCCTCTGACTTTCCAGCTCTGCCACTGACATGCCCGCAGATGGCTTTTCCCACACCGCCAGGCTGGACATGGGAGGCGTGGGATGCGGTCAGACTGGAGGACATTAAACAGGGTACAGTTCTCAGGTGCTAGCACAGCTGGAGAGCTCCCTGCATCCGTGCAGCACCTGAAACTCGGCTGCAGCGACCAACAAGAATGGTGCAAAGGCATCTTTCTTCTCAGGCCTGGTCCTCTCCCCCCAGGTCCCTCCATGCTTTGCACAGACAACTCTTGTTCTTTTCTGTACACCCATGTGCACATGGCACAGGGATTAGCAGGAAGGCTCATTTCAGAGGTTCCAGGGCACTGGGCGCAGGTGCTAATTGCAAATGGCAATTACCCCCTCTAGACCTCAGCTGCTTCCACTCAAGGCACCAATAGAGACACCTGGTTTGCTGGTGCCAGGGTCCGACACATGCCTTCTCCTTGCACTTGTGAAAATCCGGGGGGCTGCTTATTTCATGAATCTCCCCCCTTCACTGGATCAAAGCAGGGCTGAACCCTAAACCTTTAACCCTAAGAACCAATGGAGACACCTATGGGTTTCAGAGCAGGAGCCTCTAGCACTTGAGTGGTGCTGGCAGCCATAGTAGACTGTTCTATTACAAGAAGACAGTGACTCCCTGTGTACCAGTGGGCAGAAGGGGCACTGCCATATGAGGGGCTTGATGGAGCCAGGTACAAATGCATCATGTGGCCCTTTTTCAGAGCACGGCCCGGGGGGAACTTGATGGAGGACCCCAAGACTTGTTCCACTATCAGCAAGCAGGGGTGCGGGAGCTTGTGAGCTCTTTGGAGCAGGGGATGGTGTCTCATGGTGCCTATGTGCAGCCCCTAGCACACGGGAGCCCCAATCTTGAGGGGGGCATAATAAAAAATCCCAATGGCCTGTTCTCAGAGAGGTGTTTGTAGCAACAACTGCTCCGGACTCAGATGCCAAGTGCTGTCACAAATAAATCTGTTTTGTATGGAGCAGCATGGAGTCACAGCCTTTTTATTTGTCACCTTCTCCTGGGTGTCACCCAGACCCCATGCGTGGTCAGCTGCCTGCAGGGGGTGGAAATCACCCCTCCATGTGCACCACTACACCCTTTACCCCCAATAGAAACCTCCATAGGGTCAAACATCCCCCAGGGAGAATATACAAGGATGCCATCTCCACTCGGCAAGTCTGACTGTGTTTGACCCCCACCTTGTTGTTAAAGGACCCACGAGAAAAGCTGCTCCCATCCTTGCAGCAACCACAGGGAAGATGCCATCTTCTGCGATCCCTGCCTGTGGAGGTGTCTTGGGATGAAGAAGGGGTTTTGCTTCCTGGGTTCATCGTGTGGATCATGTCCGCACACCTAACAGTGCTGACATGGCAAGGCACCCCACTGCACCCTGAAAAGGATTTCATGGCACCCTGGTTGAGAATCGCTGCTCTAGATTGACCCAGAAAAAAAGCTTTCAGGGGGTCATTTTGCTGCACCCACTGCAACATGAACCCCAAGGGCTACTTCGAACCATGCAAGCACAGCTATGCACGTGGGAAGTTTCCCACGTCACAGAGGTTTGCCTGGGGGCCGCAAAGTCAGAGCCTTCTTCTCTTGCCCCTAGCCCTGGAGAGCAAACTGGACTCCGTGTTAGTAAGCAACAGCAGGCGTGGAATAGTCATTCCCTTTATTTACTGCAGCATTTCATTGGTAATCCCGGCCATGTCCCGTTAGCAGCTCAGTCAGATGCTTTGGGCGTCTGTCTTCTTCTGCTTGGAAGGCCAGAGGCTGAGATAAGCCTGGGAGCCTGAACAGCCCCTCATCTGTCCGCGGGCATTGCTATGGATTTGCCTTCTCTCTCCAGCATGCGCAATCCCCCCCGAAGCCCCTGTGTATCTGGAGTGGATCATACCTGAGCCTGACCGGGCCTGCGTGCTCCGCGGGGCTCTCGTGCTCCGGTGTGCACAAGTTCACGTACTCACTCACACTCAGGAGATCCGGGGGCTTTGAACACACAGATGTGGCCGGGCTCACGCAGCCGGAGGAGTGTCTGTATCTGGCTCCAGCCCAGCCTGGAGCAGAGGCCGGCCCATACCCAGACACAACAGGGCTGGAACAGCTGAACAAGTTTGCCCTCGGACTTGCACGCTCGGGGCTGCTGAAGGCAGGACCGCTGGCATGACCCTCCGTGTCTGCCTTCTTGGTCCCAGGGGAGCCGACAAACCCCGAAGCGAAGGAGCTCGTGTAGCCAGAAGTGTCTGCATACTCCGAGGCCACGGGGCTGTCGTATGGGGAGGCCGAGCCATCCTCAGAGCGGCTGGTATATTCAGAGAGGCTGCTATACTCCGAAGTCGAGAGGTCCATGAATTCAGAGGGGCTCATATAGTCAGAGGTTGAAGGGGTGGCATATTCGGTGAGACTGGTGCTCTCGGACGCGCTGGTGTACTCGGAGGTTGTGAGATCCGTGGTTTCGGACAAGCTGGTGTATTCGGAGGCTGTGAAGTCTGTATCTTGGGATGGGCTGGTGTATTCAGAGGTTGTGAGATCTGTATCTTGGGATGGGCTGGTATATTCAGAGGTTGTGAGATCTGTAGCTTCAGACAAGCTGGTGTATTCGGAGGCTGTGAGGTCTGTCTCCTGGGACGGGCTGGTGTACTCGGAGCCTGAGAGATCTGTCATTTCAGACTCGGAGGCTGCGAGATGCGTGCTCCGGGAAGGACTGGAGTACTGCCAGAGCGGTGTCCTGGGGCGGGCTGATGTATTCGGGGCCTGTGAGATCCGCACCCCGGGGCAGACTGCTCTGTCGGGAGGCTGCGAGAGCTGTCCTGGGACGGGCTGGCGCGCGGCGGCGGGGAGCTGCGATCGCGGAGGGGCGGTGGGACCTGTCCTCCCGGAGGGGCTGGTGCACTCGGAGCCCGCGAGCGGGGGCAGGGACGGGCTGCGGGCAGAGGCTGTGAG